TATTAGCAGCATGACACCCAGACACACCAAACGAGGTTCTGCGTCAGAAATATGGACGAAAATTTCTGTAACATTGTAGGATGTTTGATCACCCGGTAGAACAAGTAAATCACCAATGCTGAAGATCATATAGTTCTACGATGCTTGCGTTTTCGTCAATCAGCTGCAGATAATTTGTCCTGAAAAGTCCTAAAGCTTTTTACAATTGTTTCAGCCTTGTTGAGGATAATCAACAGTGTGCGTTATGGGAACCTCCATGGAGAGTCGGCCTCGCAAGCTCCCAGCTGGTAGTTGAAAACTAAACCGTTTGACTTTGATTACCGGACCAGCAATCTGATAGCTTAGCACTCAGACATATATATATATATGTATGGATTTATGGAAGAATTCACATGTCGTGTGGACCCTGTATCTGAGAAACTTTCACCCAAGAAACCAGGCAGCATGACACCACATGATGAGATCTCAATGAATGAAGGAGGAATGGCATTATATCCAGTAAAAATGCAGATGGATCAGTTGGCTAATCAGCCCCTCGTGGCCGAATGATCAGTTTAAGATTACTAACCGGGTGCTTGCGAGATGGGTCCTCCTTGGAAATCCGTGAGATTCCCACTGCTGACGACTTTCATGATAAATGGGACAGCTGTGCAATGCTCCTCTTTTTTCTACGTAGGCTGATTTCTCTAACAGGAGGAGAACTCGATGTAGAAATTATATTAAAAATTACAGCGCATCCCTTTCCTCAAACTGTGTATTTGAAAATGGTATGTGTACCACCATACTCATACAATCAACAAAATGTAAGGGGCCATTTACCATTGCCCACAAACCTCGGGTTGTTTAGTAATTATGTAGAACTTGCGGTCAAAGAACAAGTGAATCTCCTCTATCGCTGAGATGTGTTGCAGATCCCGTCCACGCGGCTTCCACAGATTATGTTTCACACACATAGCTTATAAAATTACAATGCTGCAACTCTCAAGCAGATTATTTGTTCGAGTGAAACATTCATGCATCAACAACTTCCACAGAAAAAGCTGCCGAATATGAGATACGTATTCTAAGATCGTTGCCACTCAGTGAACACATTTACAACTTAGTAGCTCAGAGCAAGCAGTGACTCACTAATCTTACACTGAGATTTCAACTGCGTCAGACGCACTTTTTTCTTAAAATGATGATATAGTATGGTTTTTCTTTTTTCTTTGTAAGATGTTGCCGATCTTCCGGACACAATGTCAAACTCTGATACGACCGCGGGCAGAAGTCTGGTTCGGGTGAAACGTATTGCACAGAGCGGAGCTGTAATGAATAACTGATAATTAGGTGCTCTTGTAATCTGTTCCGTCCTTTACTTTCTCTTGTTGTTTCAAGTTTTTTTGGATAAAACATCTGGTTTGCAAACTTTGTAACTATTCTATGTCACTGCTTTGTAAAGTATCACTGGTCACAAATGCTACGCAACGCACACACAAATAACTGATGTACAAGCGAACTATGCTGCAAAAATAGAGATGAGGCTTTAGGGGGAAGTTTTCCGCCTGCTATGTGCGGAATAAACTCCACTCTTATAATTGCACACGTTTTGCTTCTAGGTAGTAAGTCGAAGCTGGATCTTATTCAAACTGTTTGTGACGTAGCAGTCACGCTTACAAAAGACGGTCACTTTTGTAGGTGTCCGCCAGCCAAAAAGACCTGGGAAGTTGAAAAATTTGTGGAAAAATGTGCGCATATCTAGCGAAAGCGAAATCTGTTATCTTAAAAGGATGCTGTGGATAAAAGTGAAACTAGATAACACCAAAAAGTAGCATTTCTCACTTGGATAATCTAGTTTTTTTTCCAATTCAGCCACCTTTAAAGGATCTACTGCCTAGTAACCTTGTTGATTTCGTATGATTTGGTAGCCTTTTTAGGCACTAAAAAAATCAAAAAATGTTTAAAAATGAGCAAAGACGGATTCTTTTCAGACATTTCATGAGATGCCAGAAGCTACACATTCAAACGGTGCTTGCGCCGGTGATTATATCATGTAGTTCTTTTGAATGGTATTACGACGCTTTTCTAGAGATCCAACGGGCAATAAATCTGATATGTCAGTAGATAGCAGTAAACAACTCAACTGTTCTTCGACACTTCGTCTAAAAGTTTCGAATAAGATGAGAAATGCAGTCCGAGGATCACAATTATTCTACACTGTCATTCACAACCAAGCTCCATAGGTAATATTTGTTGTACGATCATCTTAAATGACTGCACATGTGCATCTAACGTTAGCGGTAAATTGGAATCGAACCAATAAACCCATCTTCGTGGTACTCGTATCTTGTTGCATTCTACAAACCTCGTGTAGACTACGCAGAATTGCTTGTTGTTACTTTTCATTCACAAGTATATGATAGATTAAAAGCTATGAACCTATCACCACAACCACAGATACTGAGATTAGAATTCGACTGATGTAGTTTCCTCCGCGTTCCGAATCCAGATTAACGACAAATGATGTGACCTAGTTGATTTGTAAGTGTCTGTGTTTGGTTGCATTCTACCACTATGTGGCCGCGCATGTTCAATTAAAGTGAAGTCAACGAGGGGAACCTCACCACTCCCTTGGATTTAAGTTGTTGAACTTGCCCAATCAATGTTTGCCAAGTTATTTTTCTTAGGGATTACTTGGCAAAGCTCAGCGATCTTACCTGAGCATTAATTATTAGGTTAAATAAACCTTGGCAGGTGGCCGAAATTTTTTGGATTTCGAACCACGTACTTGGGGAATTACGAGCTGCTAATTAGTCCGACACGTCAACTTGATTAACTACAAGTTTCACGTTTTGTCTCCAGATATTTTAGTGTCAATCTTAAATATAACGATAAAAAGTTCATGTCAAATTGTGCAGATGGATTATTTGAGTTTCAGCAAATCTACTTGAGTTTCTCTTGGGTTTTTTAGGAGCTGTGTCGTCAATGACTGCGAGCACATATGTCGTGTAGATCTTTGCAGCTACACAGATGATGCTGTTCCATACACATCAAGATGAACACCAGTCTTGCCCCATACAACTAAGCGAGGTACCTTTATTTGGTAACGAGATTTGGGGTTAGAAATATGCCGTTTAGGTTGCGATGTTAATCACACTACCCAGAAAGCCCTGTGGGCTCTCCGACAATTAAAATATCCTTTAAAAAGTTGAATGAAAACGCCATCTTGAAGGCGCCATTCCAATACCTTTTGAATTAAAAATGTTTTTATACGTCGTAAATGTCGAAGAAAATTCGGTTTCAGTTTCACAAGCTTGTTTCTCACAATTTTTATTGAACCAGTCCAAGATAAGATAAGAGGTCAACCTGGGTCCTACGTTCATGCCTTTGAACATCGCAGAGATGCCAGAACTTTGAGGTCCTTTTTCTCCATGCCCATATGAGTATTTATGTTTCAGAGCTGAGCGGTCCTTGCCAGGCTATTTTTCACTTCTTAAGATGGATTATCTGCAATACGGTTGTCTTCTCAGTTAAAGGGGAACTTTTTCTCCTTGTATGATTGCGCTGCTATTTATGTTCAGAGCTGAGAAGTCCGTGCCAGGCTATTTTTCACTTCTTAAGATGGATTATCTGCAATACGGTTGTCTTCTCAGTTAAAGGGGAACTTTTTCTCCTTGTATGATTGCGCTGCATGGACCATCCCTATGACTTAACCTTCTAGGTCCGTGTTTCAAGACGTTTTTCCGTGGTTCAGTGGCTGGCTTACCTTTCATGACGTGGCCTTTTAACGATAGTGTTTTTTTATATGGTGCCCTAGGGTGTACGGTAACAGTCCATTTCCTTCATTCACCTTCTCACCATTTAGACTTGCACGTGTTCTTCCATATTTGCTGACCACTGGAATGATTGTTTACTGCACTGTGTAGTGTTAATTCTTCTGATAGTACCGATTATTTTGTTGATGATATTGGAGAATTCCAAGAGATGGCTCTAGATGATGTGGTCAAGCTTCGGTGACGTAATGCCAGATGGTGTCTCGTTAACAAATAAGACTTTATTAGCGGTCCTAGGATTTTGTGTTGCGCTGTGCTGATCCCACTGGGTTGATAAATCTTACGAGATGACGGACTTAGGAGCTGTTTATCCGGGGACGAAGACATAGCGTAAGTCACGAGCGATGAACGCAGTATAGCAGTGTGATAGCGAGATAGTAAGTGGTGAAAAAATCTGGGATTGTTTCTAGTTGTAGGCAGCCATAGGTCGAAAAAGCATACTGGAAATGAAACAGTCGAGAAAAACTTTCACCCTGATCAGCGTTTTCTGAATTCTGTTCAACAAACTAGAACCCCTTAGAGTTACGCCAATTATTGAAAGTTTAAAAGCTTCATTGGATCCAGATTTTCTCGATAATTTAATCAGTGGGTTATCATTCAGGTTTTGCCGTTCGTAATTCCAAATATTGCAGATTCTGAAAAGAATTACGCGCTGCACATTAGTTCTTGTGCGGGTTGACTATGGCGTCTTGTTTGGTGCGGACACACAGGTGGGGATTTTTAGTTGGAATTGGTTTTAAGTGTTAGAATGCCCAAAACGTATAAATGTTGTATGCGTCATATACATCATATTAAGCTCAGCAAATGTCCCTACGTTTCCCACCTCGTCCCGTTTCGCGTAGTGGTCTGTACAAGTTATTCACTCCCACAAATTTTTACGTATTTGATTTGTTGCACTAGCTATCATTAAGGATCCTAATACTTCTTAATCGATTTGAAATAAGTTGATATTCCGGCATGATTTGTTAAATGGCTGTATCTGTCGCGACCTACCTGTCAGTAACTTACCTCGAACAACAGTCCGAGAAGGAATGTGTCCGCAAAGTCAATGACAAAACATCGGCAAAAGAATGCTGTCTCAGCATAACGAGAACCGTTATTCTTTTGTCAGGCAGACCAGGATAGTAATATATCAGACAACCAGCGCACCATTTGGCGGAAAAGCCTTTTCGATATTGTTTCTTTCAGCTCGCGCTAAGATATTCTCCGATGAAAAAGTGCACGGGGAAGAACTTACTGATACGCACGGTACGCATAAGAATGGTACACAGTGAATACTAGGAAATTCCTTTTAGATCAGCGATGGTTTATAATACTAGAGACAAAAGTAATTGCACAACCTGCTTTTAGGATGCAAAACCATCATACTCTACAGGGGAATATCAATGAATGCCTAGGGATGTATTTCCTGTAAATTTTATGCAGTTGGTTCCAGTACCTTTGCTGTGTGTTTAAACTAATCGGACTTAAATGGTGTACGTTTGTCTTCTGACCTTCGCCTCTGAGCTAAGGATGGTGTCTTAGTCAATCAGTCAAAGTCCTTTATAATCCTCACTACTTGCTCAAGCAGCGACAGCAAGTGAGGCTTATTCTAAGTGTCTGTATTCAACAGTCCAAAGCTGCTTGTGCATGACGATCGATCTAAAGTGAAGACAAATTCAACACTCGGTAGACTGCTGTTACTTGAAGAATGAAACAGAAAATTTTTTGAGCAACATGTCACGCGGTAAAAAGGTCCAAGATAGTTTTCAGGCGTTTATTGTTGAGCCTAATGCCTTGGTAGTGTCACAGCTCATTAGAGTGGTATCTGCCCTGTGGTCCTGGAAGCAGTGTGCATTCGCTGTATCTGACGAACCGATCGGACGCCCTGAAGTGTACTGCAGATCCACCGGATTGGTCTTTCATGAAGAACCGCACGTCTACCAAGTGGAACTCAAAAACATCTTACGGTGGCCATTCACCATGTCTATAATTCGTGCGCTTGTACCGATTCCTGCGTGTGGCGGCTACATGAGAATGGTCAAACGTTGTTATTCATGACCTGCCAGCCGTTGCTGTTCATCTATCGATGGTCTCAATCAAACCAATGAGATACAAAAATTAGTCAAAGTCCTGATAGAGTAAGGTATGTTAATCATTTTATTTGAATGTTCATCTGTCTCAAAACACCTTGATCCTCAAGCTAGCCCGGAACTACCTGAATGCCATATTGCAACCGGCACTACAAGTGATCGAGCTCCGCGAAATTGAATTTGTAATTTTTATGTTAGGTCTTCAAACCCCGTGTATTTTTGCAGCCTAATGCGATCTTGAATAGCCACTAGGTGAACTTTCTAGTAATATAGGACAAGAATGATAGACACCGTCTGTTAAAATGAAGCGTCTTGGGATATTTTCTCGACACCCGCAACGGATGAGGCGGGATTTAGAGCCTGAGTGTAACTTGCCTCGGCCGATGACGTTCCGACAACATACGTTCCCATAAGCTTCAATCTGCTATGTTTATGTGTTGTCACACTGTAGATGAAATTAGACACAAAACACAGGGCAGATACATTGGGCACAGCACGTATTGAAAAGCTTTTCGTCAATTTGTTTCGTTTTTTTATTGTGTGGCTAGATAAAAACGGTCTACTTCAGCCTGAGATCGGTGAATTATGGACAACAGACTGTCTGATAATACAGAAAAATGGATTTTCTTGTATGCGTCTTTGAACGTTGTTAAGTGCAACCCGTTCAATAAAACTTCTCAGGCACATTGAGCTTTATAAAATTGACAAGTTTAGTCCGACCACAGCTTGTGGTGAAACAACTCAACATAGATCAAAGATCTTATCAAATGCCCTATATCAAACCATGGGTTAACTTTGGGTAAGGGGCAGTCTGACCGCGGTTGTCGTAACAACATTCCGCAAACATTTGCAGCGTAATGAAGTGAACATAGTAAGGAAGCGAATAGAAAATTTGAGAAAGGGAAGGCATCTGTTACTCTGGTTAGCAGTGAGCAGTCAAATGTAAATATGGAATCCCAGCAAACGTGGATGTGAATGTATGCCCTAAACTTATCGAAATTTAGTTGATAAGTGCGTCGAAGATATGGGTTCCCAGAAAAAGAGGAAGAGTGGATATGTTCCGACCTGTCCCGCGTAACATTCACAGTGCGGTGCTAAAACCTCGAAATACCATTAGACTAAATGTTCAGAAGAAATGAACAGGGCGCCTGAGTATTGGCCATGAGTGGCGCCGCAATCTTTGCACACGCTACGAAATAATGTGTCTAATAATGGCAGCTTGTTGCTAAAAAGACTCCGCTAACCAAACGTCAATCCAATTCAGCTATTTGGATTGGGAACCGCACAGGGCATTTGTAGGCTTAGCGCTGGTTTATTTTCTAGGACAAAAATGTTAAAATAATAGGCTTTATCAAATAACTCGCAGCTTGTACTAGATTTGAACTTATTTGCTTCGACTATATATAATTCAGCCTCTTTACAAGCGGACGCCGAATGCAAGTAATCTTACCCAGTAACGTATTTGGCATAGGTAAAAATGACACCGTCACGTATGGTACTGGTTGCTTCCTCTGTTGTATTAGTTTGGACAACAGGCTGTCTGAAAACACAGTGAATTATGTACGCAGTTGCAGATAATGACTATTTAAAATACGTTCACGAAGTCTATTGGATGCGAAGCCTTTCATGAGTTCAGTCACTCGGCCGCTGGTTGATCGTTAGTCTGAGTGTACCTGAGGTAGCGCAAATGCTGGCGAAGGGTTATGAGATGGTCGTACTATACAACGTTTAGTGAAGTGTACTTCCAAATAATTGGAGAAGTTAGTTCCGGGTAAAAAAGAACTATGAGTGCTCAGGGTCACTTCATATGCTACGAATCTGCCTTAGAATGTGCGACGGAGCACAAACTATGGTACACAGTAGTTCAGACGCTATAGAATGCTCCACGTTATGGTTGCCAGCACCGGTATTAGTACCAAGGCCATGTGATGGATCGTATTTCTCCTTCTTGTCCAAATATCCATTATTTTTCTCAAGCAAGAGTTTCTAAAACTGGTTTCAGTTTTTCAAATTTGTCCAGCGTTTTTATGTTCATCGAGAAGCTGAATTCATGACTAAGATTAATTCCACAAAAGAACTGGTATTGATACTTCGCATCTGACTGCCTTCAGAATACATCCGTTGCATATTATTGCTTTTCCGTCGATATGGAGATAACGATTGTTACTAGAACATTGTTGAATTTCTCAGGATTACAATACCAGTCGCTTTCTGCTCTGGAAAGCACGGCGGTGCGGTTTTTCTAGGTGACAGATGCCAGGGCCTGTATCGAATATTGATCTATTTTGAATTCAGCGTCTCACTTTGTCCGAATCAAGAGAAGGTGTCTACAGCATATACGTTGGACAGTGATATGGTCAGCTGGTTGTCTATCGCAAACTTTTGAATGACCCAGGCCGACAGGTAAGCTATTCTATGAACGGGCTAAGTGTAGATTATCAGTAATTGTAAAGGTGCGGTTGCATTTGGAAAGTCATGCCGCATTTTTACCGAATGACTTGATGAAACTTCAATATATTATAGTAAATTTGAATTCAGAAGACCGCTTGGTGGAGTAAGTTATATTCATATGTTCAGGCTGCCCGCGGTCAACATAGTTCACTCAGAACTCAAAAAATTAGTCGATCAAGTCTTTCTTATATTGGGAGGGTGGGGACAATAGACAAACTACCTCATATAAAAGTGGACAATGTCCAAGAATCTACAGTTGTGGTGTCCGCAGCTGCTTTGAGTTTTGGTTCTTCTCACACAATCACAGCGAAGCAGAAAGACCAATTAACAACCAGTTTTCGTATGCATTCGTTTGCCTGATTTCGTCGAGCTTTTGACTGACAACGGCTGAGCACAATACAAGAGGCACACACTGAGTAATTTTTGAATCTGGATTGTACTAAGATGACTTGATGAACACTAGGGTGGCTTTGGACCAAGACTACTTCTTAAGACACAATTTTATGACACTTCTTGTTCATTCAAACAGAACTGAATGAATTTTGTTTGTCCGACATTTGACACAGCCATTAATTGTGCGGAACGCCATAGGAACGTTAGGGAATCATCTATGTGAGAATATTGATGTCCTAAATTTCTTCAAAATTTCGTTACAATCCGATATAAGATGCAACAAAATATGGTATTCTTCAGCAATTGCCCAGATGGCATGGCAAACCGTGCGACAATAATGCGTAAATCCTCATTTCATACGTTATTTTGTTCCCTTCCAGGTTGTGAGCCATTTGCAAAAAGTACTGTTCATAGTACAAATGTTTATTTTAAAAATGTATGGTACGTTTGTTCTGCAGGGCAAAAAACGATTTCAGAAAGAACGTTCGGTGGTTAATGTTCTGTATTGTGTTAATCGGGACCACCAAAACAACATGTATGTCAAACACCGAATCAAATCCTGAATAGTCAGCTGTCAGATACATAAAGATTTGTTATTCCCCGTTTTTTGTGTAAAGGTTTACAATCGATTCATCAGCGTCAACGGAATTTTACTTTGAGGTTTAACAGGCGGTTACTAGAAGACGAGTGATAAACCCGGCTTCTTTGAGTTATAGATGAAATCTCCTACTGTATTGTACTGACAATCGATTATCAGCGTCAACGGAATTTTACTTTGAGGTTTAACAGGCGGTTACTAGAAGACGAGTGATAAACCCGGCTTCTTTGAGTTTAAGATGAAATCTCCTACTGTATTGTACTGGTATTTACATGGAATGTTTATTGATCAGCGAATAGAAACGGTCACCTCTATAGTTTAGAAAATTGTTTGCCGCCAGTGACGAACAGTTCAACAGTTTATGCATGCAGACGATGAATTACAATCAATATAAAGCCAGAAATAGTGTACTACGGACTGGAAAGTATTTCAACGGATTTGTGCTGACCCATTTTCAACTCCGGAGAAATCAATGCCATAAGAAGCCGCTGAGCAGAGAACAGCAGACGAAGATATTGCAGCCAACACTGCTTTTTTAAGCGCTCAT